TTTCAAAGAAATTATTTATTTTTGAAATTATAATAAATTAAATTAATAATTAATTATAATTCTATTATAAAATATATATTAAAATTAGATTTTTTAATAAATAAATAAATAAATAATAAATATATTTCATAATAAGTGGCAGGCAAACCATGAATTTTTGAATGGCATAATTCTATAATTAGAAATATTATAAATATTCTTAAAATTACAGAGCTAAAACAGAAAAATCTACTTATAAACATTATTTTTATAATACTTAAGAGCATTAACTACTAGGTTTTTTTCAAATATGACTAAATAAATAAATAACTGGTGGTCTCTAATTCGTAATATATTTTTAAGTATATGTTTTAAATAAAAATATTAAGTTTAAATAGTGAATGTGATATCTCTTCATAAAACCAAATATATAAATTAATATTTGATAATTAATTAATTATTATATTTATTCGTTCTTTTTATCCATTTATAATTAATTAATTAAATTTCATAAACTGCTATTCAATATTTTTGAAAAAAAAAATAAATGATATAATAGATTAAAAAATATTACGAATTAGAAGAAGTAATTATTAATTTTTTTATTAATATATTTTAAATTTATATAAATTAATAAAAAAAGTTTAAAAGCTCTTCACTTTTATCTCATTAGGTTCTTGATATTGATCTGAGGTATATTTAATTAAAAAATATTATTTTTATTATTATTAATATTTTTGTATATTTAATTTTAAATTTATTTAAATAAATAATTTATATAAAAGAAATTATCATCATTATTTATTGATTTTTATTAAAACTTAAATTTTTTAGCTATTTTAACTTAATTTTCATTTCAATTTTTAATTATTTATTTATTATTCATTTTTTATTATTTTATATTTTTTCTTCATTTTTGCTATTAAAACTTACACTTAATAAAAGCTATTTGTTTGTTTTACATTATAATATTTTTAATTATAAAAGTTAATTTAAAACATTAAAGTTCTTTTAATTTACTTGATTTGTTTTCATTTTTCATTTTATTATGATTTCTTATTTTTTCATTCTTTGTTAATTTTATTAATTATTAATTAATCTTTTTATTTCATATTTTTTCTTCATTTTTTCCTCCTAATTAACTATAGTGAAATACCTATTTAATTTATATCTAAATAACATTATAAGAAGTTAATTTTTAGAAAGCATAACATATCATTTTTTTTGAAAAAAAATAAATTTTAAAACCCAAAATATCACACAAAATTTTAAAAGGTGTGAATGCTAATTAATAAGATCTTACAGTATGTAATTTTTTTGTTTAAAAAATATAAAAATATTCTACCATAAATTTGCAGAAGCACTATATTATATATAGACTAAAAATAGTACTTTTTAGACTATTAGTTGCAATTATTTAATTTTTTTTGTTGTAATTAATCACTCATTCATGTTTATTTGGCTTAAAATTATATATATCTAAAGAGGTAGAATTTAATGTAATTAATTAATGAAGTTATAATTTAATAAAAGCCATTTTACTTTAAAAAAGTAATTATTAAATTTACTTCAACTTCAAAAAGAAAAAAATAATGTCGTAGAAAATAACATATTTTTCTTATCTAAAAAATGTAATTCAATATTTTATTTTACAAGTTTAAATATTTATTTTAATATTATTGTTTAGAGACTCTGAATAATTCACTTACACAGATCTATAAATTAGTTTAAGGTAATAAATAAATAAGTTATATATTTTAGATAATCAACTTTGATTATTATTTATACATGTATACTCTGTATTCATATCAAAAATTTAAAAAATTAATTATTTTATATTAATCTATCAGAGAACAAGATTAATTAACCAAGCAAAATTTTTGAATAATTAATTTTTCTTAACTAATTGTGATTATCTGTTATTTTTTCTCATCATTTTATTAAGATTTTTTCACTTTTTATTTATTTTTAAGCTTTTTCTTTCATTTAATTCTTTATACTTATTTCTTTAAAATATTTTTTCAAAATATATTCATATTAATTTAATATTTTTTCTAAAATTTAAGGGAAAATTAAATTACAGATTAGAGAATACTACCTATGAGTTTTGCTTTAGCTCAGTGTAAAAATCTCTAATATTTAATACTTGACCTCTTGTAAAAATAATTATTTTTTTTTATTATAAAAAATTAATAAATAATATAAATAGTTAGTTTATTTGTATATAATATTTGAATATTTAGCATATTAAATCTACTTTTTTAGGATTGATATATTAATCGATTTACTTGCTAATAGGTTGACTATTATTTATTCTTTTAATTTTTTATATAGTTTTTTACAAAAATCTTCACTTAATTTTTCAAAAAATTAAAAGTTACAATTCTATCAGTGATGAAGACATATCGTATTTATGTTCTGGTTTAGCTAAATGTTAAATCTTTCAATTTTGACTCTCTAACTTTGGTAAAAATAATTTACTCTAATAATATTTGTTAACAAAGTATTAAATTAATGAGTTTAAAGAAAAAAATAATCAAAATTTTATATTTCTAAAAACTTTTATATTTTATTACTGGTTTTTTCTAAATAAAGATTTAATTTTGTATTTTAATATTGTTTTTACCTCCAACTCTTTCATATTAACTCTGATATTTATTTAATGCTAATAGGCAAAATAAAATTGATGAAGATGGCATTTCAGAACTTTGGTTGTGCTGTAGCGAATTTAATTAATTTTGAATAAAAATTAAACTGTATCAAAAGAATATCAATGCTAGATTTTTTGAGTATAAATAATAAATAATTTTTGGCTTGTTGTTAAAATATTATAAAATCAATCTATTTTAATTTTAGATATAAATTAGATATAAATAGAATTGATCATAAGTATAATTTTTTTTTGATAAGGTAGTAAAGTTGTTTTTACTTAAAATCAATCAATCAGCCAATTAATCAAAAAATAATACAAAAAACAAACAATTAAATTTTTTAATTAAATAAATAGTAAAGAAATCAGCAAGCAATAGTTTGCAATTACTGAGTTAACATAATGGCAGATAGTTTTGAAAAAATTGCTTAACAATTGTCTAGAAGCATGAATGCTTTGAAGGCTAAGATTTAAAGGACTCCTATACTGCAACCTCGTGACAAAAATGACATTAAATAAGATATTTAAGAGCATCAATAGAATTTGGATGAATTGAATAACTTAATATTGTCATATGAACGCAACAATAATAAGTTTAACCTCACTTAAAATTAAATACAATAAAGAAAGTAAGAAGTTTAAAGATTAATCGGTTTAAAAAACGAAATTTTAAATATTATTGATGGCCAAAGCACTAAGTAAATGGTAAATATTTAATTTAAAATATGTTTAGGCGATGAATTTAATAAAATTTGATATTTTTTTGATCTGTAAAAATGTAATAATTAATTGTTAAAAGAAATAGGATCTTTTCAATTAAAAGCAAGAACCTAAAACATTTAAAGATAACTATGCCTAGCCTGGTACTTCAACAAAGTAAATCCAGTAAAACTATTAAGATTTATAAAAGGATTAAGATAAACATATTGATAAGTTGAATGAAAATCTAGTGATTACTAAAGGAATAGCGATATAAATAGGATAACAAGTAGAAGAACATATCGAAGTTCTAGATGACATTGAATCTAACGTTGATAAAGGTACATAAAAAATGCTTACAACAACAGGAAAAATGAAGAATTTGATTCAAGAAAGTAAAACTTGGGGTATTTTAATAGGCATTTTTGCTGAAATAGCAATTTTGGTACTGATAATTATATATATTAATTGATTTAATTAATAATCAACAATTGAAGTAAATTAATTAGATAAAAATTATATTATATTTAAATTGAATTTTTTTTAAATTACTTTAGAGTGACGTACAATTAGTCTTACCTGAGTTTAATAAATAATATGCTATTATAATATAAATTATTTTTTGTTCATCTTTATAATTAGAATATGCTTAAAAAGTATGTTAAATAATTAATTATTTTAATTGCTAACCTTAAATTTATACAATTATACCCACAATCAATTTAAATGAGTGATTGAAATTGCCTTAAGTTGATATCTGATTATTAATAAAAGAAATAATAATTTTTTTCACTAATGTTAATATTTGAACAATAATTTATGATTTTTAAAAGAAAAAAGCTTATTCTAATTAATAAAATTTATGATCTTAAATACAATCCAAGTAAATTGAAAAAAATATGATCTGTGCAAAGAGTGCGCCAGACAACTTAAAATAAGAAAAAAAATGAATACATTTTTACGCAAAAGATAAGAAAACTTATACCTGCACGCTAGTGCTTAACCATTCAAGAATAATTCACTTTTTATTCAAAAAAAAAATATTTTGTAAAAATAAAGTAAAAAAATTCTCATTAATTTTCATCAACCCTATCCCATATTTTTTAAACATAAAATGGTGAAAATCATATTTTTTTTAACTTCCAAAAAAATATTTTGCAGAAAAATTTCTTAGATTTTTGCGTACTTGAGACAAAAAAATAATATGGGTGAATGAATTATTGTTATATTTACTATTCTTCTAATTTACATTACAAAATATTAATAAATTTTACATTTAATAAACAATAAAAATTTTAATTTACAAAATAAAATAATAATTTTAATTAAATCATTAAATTTCAAACTATTTGCTCAATCTAAAAAAAATTATTTTTTAATAAAGATATAAATAACTGTATTAGTAATTCAAATAATTAGATTTTAAACCATGTTTCTATTTATTTTGAAAATCTAAGTATCTTTGGTTCTTTCTCTTTTTTACTTAATATATATGAAATAATGCTTTTAAAGATATATTTATGCCTCTTTACTAATAAAATTAATACTTTTTCATGGATTTAAATTGCAATTAAGTAAATTAATAAATGAAGATTGTTTATTTGTTTTATAGTTTTTTTATTTATAAATTTTCTTTGATCGTTTGATTGATTAATTTTCTATTTATCTATCTGTCTGCCTGTCTCTTGCTTGATTGACTGATTTATGAATAATTAGAAAGAAAAGAGATAATATATATTTATAAAATCAAAAGATAAGAAATTATTTGCAGATAAAAGAGATATTAGATATACAAAAATAAATAAAGAGTTTGAAAAATTTAAAGAAAAATGGAAGAAGAAAAGAAGCTAACTCCTGAAGAAACTTTCTCCCAAGGTCCCTTTTCATTGCTTTTCAAAGCAGTTAAGGCTAACACTTAGGTTTTGATTGCATTAAGAAATAACAGAAAGATGTTGGCAAAAGTGAGAGCATTTGATAGACACATGAACATGGTGTTAGAAAATGTTTTAGAAATGTGGACTGAAGTTCCAAGAGGATCTCACGGCAAGAAGTCAAAGCCAATGAAAAAGGAAAGATATATTACAAAATTATTTTTAAGAGGTGATTCCGTTATTTTTGTTCTTAAGAATCCCTAAAAGTGATTTAAAAGCATGCGAAGCATTAATCAACCTCTAAAAATAATAAAATCAATCAATAAGCAAACAAGTAAAAAGTACTAAGCAAATAAATGAAATAGCAAGCAAGTAAACAAACAAACAAGCAAAGGAAAGAAGTAAATAAACATGAGCAATTAATTAAGTATATTATTATATAATTTTTTTTAGATTCATTCTTCAGAAGTATGTTTATCTTCATGTTTCTTTCTATGATATACAATCCTAATCTTTTGGCTAACTAAGGTAATAAATATAATTATCTATATACATTTATATATACATATGCAATTTATTTATATTTTATTTATATTATTTTATTTCTTTTTGGATATTTTTCATTCATTTCACTTGTTTGTTCATCAATTCCATTTACCATTTTTGTTCTTTTAAACTGTAGTTTATTTTTCTTTATTTATGATTATTTGCTTGCTTGTTTTTTTGTCTATCTGTGTGATTTTCTTTCAAATCATTAAGATTTTTTTCTTGTTGAATAATTATAACTTTTGCGTGTCTATTAGTTTCACTCTTTTATATATTGTTTGGTTATTATAAAATTCAATTCATAATTAATTAATAAATCAAAGCTATAAAATCAAAATTAGAATAGCAATATTTTATTATTTTTAATTAATTAAAAAATCTCTTAAAATAGATATATTGATAGATATTCATTCATTATTTTAATACATTTCAAATCAAAAAATTAATAAAAATCAATCATAATTTATATTACAAAAACAAACATGCAAAATTTAAATTTTTTCAGAAAAACTAAATGAAAAATTTAAGGATAAATTTTCATTAACATTAATAAATAAAAAAATCCTTAATTAAAACAAAAAATTTTTATAATCAATGCATTTAATTTTTTTAAGATTTATTTAATTTATGCATTATTAATCTAAATTTATATATGCCAATTTATATATTGCTGCATTTTATTTGATAAATAGCTACAAATAAGAAATAAAATAATAATACAAGTATTTCTTTTAAATACATTCATTTTAAATGCTAAATAAATTATTGATGAATGCTCTTCAAAATATTTTTATTTAAGGTAAAAAAAAACTGTAAAAAATTTACCTTAAAATTCTTATTTTTCATAAAATGCTGACTTTATAAAATAAATCATTTGTTCTACAATTGATTAATAAGACAATTTCTAAGAAAGTATTGATCAATTTTCATTTTTGATCCCAATAAATACATAAATAGAATTATAAAAGATTGGATTATGCTTTTGATTTTATTTTATTGGGTTTAATTTTACCCTAAGATGAAACTTTAAAATTATATAAAAATAGCCATACTAAACTAAAAATAGGATTAATTAAAGCTGTTATTTTCTAATTTTATCAAATACTTTACTTTTTGAAAATTGTTTGAATTTATTTAGCAAGCAAAGAGTTTAAATATTGATAATTAAATAAATTTTGCTCTATTTATGTTTGGAACTAATAAATAAATTTAATTTTCTGACTGAAAAGGATTCTATGATAAATAAATTTGATTGATTGATCGATAGATTTAGTGTATCGATTAAATTTTTTTATTTGAAAATATTAAAAGATTCTAATTTAGAATTGAATAATATTTCCTGTTGCGATGTGTAAGCTAATATTTGATAATAAATAAAAATCCAAGGTGATAAAAAAAATGTAAATTAATACAATTATATTTCTTAGAACTTATTTGTATTTTGCCCTTTATTATCTGTAATATTTGGATAATATGAATATTATAAGGTAAGAAGAGTTAAAAAAAATGCATTCAAAGCTAATAATTTCTATTTGTTTGGGTAAACATTTATTTTATATTCTTGATTAGCAGAATTTAATAGCCAGTGAAAATTCTGAAAAATTTCCTACCTTTATGACTATTTTTATACCCATTCGAGTTTAATAATTTTCTTGATCCAAATCTATTTATAACTATAAAAGAAGTTTAATTTTTATCAATCGTTTAAATAATTATATACACTAATAACTCTAAATATAGATAGATTGATAGATGGATTGATTGATCGATTGATTGATAAATAGATTGATTGATTAATAAATAGATTGATTGATTGATAATTTAATAGATTGATTGATTGATAGATAGAAAGAAAGATAAATATATTTATTGATAGATAGATATTTATATATAAATATATCAATTGATCGATTGATTCATAGATGCTATATAAACATATGGAAGTACACTCTTTCAATATTTTCATTTTGATTTTCTTGATTATTTAGATAATTTATTACTTAGAATGAGATTCATTTGGATTACAAGAAATGTTTAGAAGATAAAAGGAAGGATATATGATAAGATAAATAGGGTTTAAAATATAAATTTTTTAAAGAGTTTATCTTATTTAGTTAATAGTTAATTTTATACAAAATATTTACAATTTATTAATAGGAATGAAGATAATTATGGTTATGTATTAATATATTTTGTGAGATGAGTAATTATTAATTTGAAACCATTCGACTATTGACTATACTACTTTGGTAATTCATGGTTGATTAATTTAATTTAATTTGATTAATTAGATTTATGCAATTTCATTTTGAAAATGAATGAGAAGTTTAATATTATTAACATGTATTTGTATATTTTTATATATTATTAATAAATTAAAAAATCAAAATTAATTAAGTTTTTAAACAATCAATATAAATGAACACAGTAAGAGAAAAAATACTTAAGTTTTAAAGGGATAGCAAGGAATTTCAGATTCTTACTTCAGCAAGATTATATCTCAAGAAATTCTACACAGAATAACTATACAGTTTAGTTTGTTTACATAAAAGGAGCAAGGCTGAGGTTTATATTTAGATTGCTCTTAAGTATGTTCTACTATTATTGATCATTTTAAAGAAGGAATTCATTCAAAAGCTAGCTAGATATGACAGTAACTTTCAGTTTATTGATATATTTCTAATTAAAGACTTCCATAGTGATGACACATAATTTTATATGAACATTTTCGCTGTTTCGCTTAATTCATTTTTGCTATTTTATTTATTTGCCTAGCTTACTATTTTTATTTACTCTGAGAAACAAAAAATGAAGTCTATGGAATAAGTAGAATTTAGTTAAAAAAATTTAAATGGAATAATAAGGATTCCTACATTAAGAATAAAATAGAATATGTTTGAAAAAGTAGTTTCTTTTGTTTTTAAGCAGTATAATCAATGCTTGATAGTTTTATTTTTGCATTTTTCCACATTTAATATGGATTAGCTTGGTACTGCAAGTCTTACTCTCACCGTTCTAGTAGGTAAATAAAATAAATTAATTTATTCTTAAAGTAAATAAATTAATGTAATTACAAATTTAATTTCAATGAACTATACGTTCAGTATTTTTCATTTAAATTATTATACAAATTAATACATGATTTTTATTCTATTATTTAACTAGGCTACATTGTTGCAAGCTCTGACTACGAATATTTAATAAATTCAGACGAGAATTTTCAAAAGAAATATGACATTTTTTGTTTAGTAGCTTATTTCTGTGAATGTCTTTCCATTGGAATATTGAATTAACTAGAACAGAATTTATAACCAATATTTATAGGCATTTCAGCTATAATCCAAATGTATGTTTTGTTTTCTAAAAATATTTTATCTGATAAGACTCTAGAGAAATTCATACAGTCCTTGAACGCATTCATTTTACAAAATTCGGTTTTTGTTTTTATTTTTGAGAACAATTAAAATAATTATCATTGCTTAAGCATTTGCGTTTTAATTACTATTCCCTCTGCATATAAATTAGCAGATTTACTTGTAGAATATAACATCAATAAGATTATTTAATACTCAGAATCTTAAGACATCATGCAAATCCTATTGTAAATTTACACCAATAGCTCCAAGGAAATTAGTTTAAGCAAAGATTATAAAAAATTTGATGCTATGACCAAGCAAATCATTTTAGCCAAAGAAGAAAACCATTTAAAAAACAATCTTTCATAGATTTTGAAATACAATTTTTCATCTAGTTGGTGCTTAATTTAGCAGCAAATGAGAGAAGAAATAAGCTTAAATGGAGAAATCAGCAGATACGAATAAAATATGTCTTAGCAATCAGTGCATAATAATTCAGAGTAACAAAAGACACTCACAAAATCGTAATTTTAAAAAAGTCTTCACAGTTCTAGGAAGCAAAACACTGAAAAAAGTGAAATCAGTTAATTTCAATAAAATATTAAGAAATCATTATTTTTAGATGGACTATCTTAGAATGAGCTAGATTCCGCAAATGCTTCTATTATAAATTAAATATTCTTAGATATTTATCATCTCTTCTTAGAAGAGAAGACTGAAGTGTGCGATGCGCATATCAGCATGCTTTGCTTCATCTTGCATGTAGTTAACAATTATTAGCTGTTTTGGATGAGGCTTAATTAAATACTTAAACTAGAACTATCACTAAAAAATCTATAAATCTTAAAGACTTTAGAGTAAGAATGTGATAGATAGATCAGAATTTAATTAAAGAAGTAGCAATAAAAATCTATTTTCTATGCTGGATACTTAGATGTGATATATTATGATAATTTGCTCAATGAGACAGCTTTAGTTGTTTAGCAGGCTACCCAATAAAAGCTACTAATTTTAGATCAAATGAAGAGAAAAAATATTAATTTGAGCGATCTCTCTGAAAAAATTTAAAATTTTTTGTCAGTAAGATCTAAAATTCTATAAAATATAAAAATAGCCACTAAAATTAATCCTGGAAGTAGAGAACTTGATTAAATTTGCGCTGACTATTGTTATATTTTGTCTTTTTCAAGCTATGATCTCAAGAAAAATAAATTATCATCTAACATGGAAGAAGGCATTGAAGTTAATTAAATGTTGTAAGATAAATATACAAACTATTTCGACTCAAACTAAGAAAAATTTTCATCCAACGCATGCGTTATCTACATTTCGCTGAAGCAACACAAAAAAATTCAAATTAACTAAGTTTCAAGCAACTTCTTAAAGATTTTCAACTTCAAAAAAAAGGAAGATATCATGAACCAGCCTCTAGAAATTATTCTACCATAAATTTTCGCTAAATATCACTCACTTTTTATCAAGAACTACTTTAGCAAAGACATTGACAACGATTTTGAAGCTAACTTTCAGTCGAGCGATCAAAATAAAAGAGAAAAATAAATTGAAAACACATGCGTTTAGTATGGTTAAAATTAAAAAAATAGAATGGTCTTTGCTGTTTCTCAAGACAATCACTTGATTGCAGTCAAATTAGACGTGAAGGTAAATAGAATTTCAATTAACAACGAATTTGGCTTAACTGCGCACATTTAACAAGTGAATAAATATAATGACTATATTTTGTTCAGATCTGATAATTTTTCAGTTGTTTCTATGACTAAGTTACTCCACAGCAAAGTCTTTAAAGTTTTCACACGCTTTAAAGAACTAAAACTAAGAAAATATTTCGCTTTCTTAAAAGATTAGCAAAATCAATTCCCAAGCTCTCAGCTCAATAGCTTTGAAGACTTGACTTTGGAAGAATACGAAGAAAAAATAAAAGAGTAGCAGAAGAAACAGCTTGCAATTCAAGAAAAGTATAAATAATATTACAAGAATGAATTCGACTATATTCTCGTTGTCAAAAGAAGCAAACAAAAAGGAGAAAGTATGCTTGCCGAAAGCAATCAAAGAAGCTACTTTTACAACAAATTCTAATTCTTTAAGCTAAGAATGAGTTTAAAGGACTTTCCAGTTCAAAATCCTTGCTTTGAAAACTAAGAATTGCAATATATTGAAATTACATCAATCAAAAGAGTTAACCCCAGAACTAACCAAAGAGCCATTTTAGAAGTGATTGCGAACAAAGATGGCAAGAACAAAACCAATATTCATGGACTAAGTCCTCAAAATTTATCTATTTTGTTCTAAGACTTAGAATAATAAATTCAAAAGACAATTTACGTAGAGAGCTCCTCCTATCAATAGGAAGCCTTCAAGTAAATCACTATGATTTTCTCTCAATCAATCACTGGATAAAACTTATAAATTACTTCCGAATAGGCCGATTCTACTTAATTCTCATAAGAAAACTAAATTCTTGCTTAACAGAGTAGCAAAAACAACAATAATACAAATAAGCCTTCTCTAAATGAAGATTTCGCTGATAACACTATGACTACATCTGCTAACAAATAAAAACAATAACTAATCAACGATGGAGTATTTATGAGAGTTTTAAAAGAAAACATGAACTAATCTATTAAGTTAGAACAAATTAATCCTCAAGAAACTCAATTTAATCACAATAAATAATATTTTGATTAATAAAATAACTTAGAAATGAAAAGTAGCAAGCCAAATCTAGAAGGTATCATTGAAGAAGACAATAACTTCAACAACAGTATCGACTATGACGGTAAAACTAAAGACATCAACCATAACTAATCGAATACCTAATACATGAAAAATATGGCTTCAGCCTAAGAGTTAGATTTCTCTGTTTAAAATTTGGAGTAGCTAAGATCTACTAAATTCTTAAAGCTAGATAACACTAACAAAAATGAGAATTCTTTCAGAAGCGACTTGCAATAATTTGATTTCTCAATATGCTAAAATGATCAGCATTTTGCTAATAATCTAACTAAATCCTATCATCCAAATTAAAGCATGAAAGCTTTAGATTAGATGATCTTTTCTCCAAAAATTCAGAGTGACCAAAACTTAGTAGATAATACGAGTGCTATTAATTCTTTTATAGTCAAAAATAATCAATTCCCAATTAAAAAATTACAATCATCTCGTTTAAATTAACTTTCAAGTAAAAACAGCTGTCAAGTGCTTTAAACAAAATCAACTTTCAAAGATTATCCCAGCACTGATTTCACAAAACATTTTCCAATCAATAGATATTACTCAAATGTTACCAACGAAAAGCAAAATAACGAAATCTAAGAAATATCTGACATTGATGAAGATGAAGATGATGTCACCAAGCGTAGAGCTTACAAAATCTACTCTGATGAGACAACTAGAAAAAATAATTTTACAGATCAGCAAAGAAAAGAAATTTTAGAAACTTCTTCAGCCCATTCTAAAGTAAGTTCTATTGAGTAAATCAAAAAGCAGTTCCGTAAAACAATTTTAACTAAAAAATCTCATTATTCTCTCTCTATAGTTAACGGAATTGGTCTATTAAGTATAATTGTGATATTTATAGTCAACTTTTAGCAATTCTTCCAAACAAAAGACACAATTGGAAGTGTCAAAGAAGATTTTACTATAGCTTAATGGCCAATGGACTACAACAATCAAATTTATGGAGTCATTGAAGCATTTAATTTGAAAAGACTAACAGCTCACTCTAAAACAAACTTAGAATACACCACTGGTACTAAAAAAGAGTTATAAGGTCTAATAAAATATAAAATTAGTGATTGTTATGGATCATTAAAATCACTTATAAAAAGCATTGTTCTGTATGATGTAAGCAGGACAATAGTATCTATAATATATAATTATCCATTCTAATTTAACCTCAGAACAGATATCACTGGTGAAGATAATAGAAAAGAAGATATTCTAGACTGCAAGTTAGGTTACTGTTTAATTCAATTCCAAAACTATATCTTCAGATACATCTACATAGTATCTGAAGAGTATGATGAATATCAGGATATAAGCAATTTTTCAAGCTACTCTGAAAAGATTTTCCTATTAAACCAGAGAGATGTCTCATTAACATTAAGATAAATCTTCATCTAATCAATAGGTTATAATAAGTAATCTTTAGAAGATATCAAATCCTCTTTAGACAATTTAGTTATCATCATAACAATTATCTCTGCTTTTTGTATTTCTCTTGTTATCCCGCTCTATGCTTTAATACAAACCTACAGAGAAAAAATTCTTAGTCTTTTAACTACATTTAGCATAGACATATTAGATGATTTCATCGATTTGATTGATTAATACTATATCCTTAATCTTGATAGGTCTTCCTCCTCTTTTAAAATTTAATAAAAAACTGATGTTAAATCTAAGTAAATAGAAGTTAAAAAATAAAATCTCAGCTATTACTCAAAGCTCCCAAAAGTTAATAAAAAACTTATATTCTTCTCTGTCCTCATTTTGACTTTAATTGTTCTCTATCCAGTTCTAAACCGCCAATTAACAAGACAATATATTGATGAATCTCAATAAAACTTGTCTATATTATGTAATTTCATTTCTCATCAAAAAACTCATTTTTGCTTTCCATTTTATTTATTTCAACACAAATTCTTTTAACTCAGTTTATTTAATTTTTCTGGAGACATTTTTTTATTTTTCTAAGCATATTTAATTTTATTTTTCAAAACACATTTAATTTTATTTTTCTGAACATATTTAATTTTATTTCTCCTTCTAAATTAATTTCAAAAATCTTATTCTAACTATAATTAAGAAAAAAATATTATTTTTATAAATAAAATAATTAAACTTTCAATAATTTATTAAATCTTTTAAAAATTTTAAGATATTTTATTAAAATTGTTTATTTTAAAATTAGATATTTTATCAAGAGTTAAATCATATATTTTACTTAATGTTGGCTTACAATATTTTTGTTTAACTGCTAAACTTTTTCCAGGTGAACAAAATGTTGTCTCATTTAATCAAATTCTTGATAGAATTTAAGTTGCAATTCAAGATTAAGATGAAATATAGCAAGATTTAAATAACGTAATGTAAGGGTCTTACTTAAAGAATAGGTAAATAAATTTATTATGAATAACTACAATAATTAATTAATTTAAATATTTATAAAAAGACACAGCTAAAGCGATTTTAATGATTTCTTTATTGAAATAATGACAGGAGATCCCTGCAGTGCAATAGTAGATTACACAGAGTATGTTAAAAAAGAAGATTAAATCAGTGCTGAACAATGTTAAAGACAACAAGGTGTCTTATTGAAAAATGGATTGCTCATTGCATTAAAGTCATTTATGAATCACTTTAAAGATGTTTACTATGAGCTAAAAGATGTTGATAAAGCTAATTTACAGAAAATTAACATATTCGATTACAATGAATAAATATTTGTTCTTGTAAATTTACTTGATAACTTGACGACTTTTATTTAAATCTAAAATGAAGACTACTATGACTACATAATATAATGCCAAATATATCTAATGCTCTATCAATTCTTTGCTCTCACAGTTGTTTTTTACCTTTCATGGATCCTCTTTTACAAATTTATAGATAATTAGTTGCATCAGACTAAACTTACTCTCTCTTTTCTTCATGTCACTCATCTCATTTCGAATCCTTACATTTAAAGCTACTTTTAGTAGAAAAATATTATATGAAATTTATATCTAGTTTAATATTTTAAAAGTATTAAAATATTCCATATTTATTTACTTATTTATCTGTTATATATAAAAAAATTTTCTTTTCCTCATTTATTAATATTAATTTTGTCATCAAAATTTTTTATTATAGCATATAGCCATACAAAAATTTAGTTGTCTGCATCCCACTTTTTATATTTTATAAAGAATCATAATTAATTAATAATTTATTTATTATAATTTTTTTACATCAAAAATTTTAAATTTAGCTAGTTTTTGTGAAGTAAATTTGGATAATAAATTAATTAATATTTAATTAAATAAAATAAGAAAAGAAAAAAAACATAAAATAAGTTATAATAAATTTATTAAATTATTTTTTAATTTCTTTAAAATAAAATTAAAAATACTCAATAACATAAAATTATTATTTAATTAATTTATTTATTTATTTTTAGCAAGTAGTTTTTAGGCTACATGAAAAATATGCTGCAAATAGCAATATTTCTATTATTCAAATATTTTTATATTTATTCCTCCTTTTTCCCTCATTTGTTTATCATCATTTGAAATATATTTTAAAGATAACTAATCTTTTTGATTTAAGATACTTGTTCTTTACTTTCAAATTTTCTAATTCATTGCTATTGTTTTAACATTTGATATAAATTAGTGTAAATTACAAATCAAAATTAACAAAATAAAATATTTAAATTTAAATTATATTCTAATTCTGTAAAATAAAATAAAAAGCTAATAAATAAATTAATGAATTGAATGAGTTAAATTCATTTTAAAAACTAAAAATATCACAATTCAAAACAAATAAACTGTTTTTACTCAAAATCAAGTATCAATTTTGAGAGATTATTTTTGGATGATAAAGCAGAACCTAAGTCCGATATACCTTGATCTCCAATTTCGTTTTCACTTTTTAAATATTGAAGATAATATTATTTTTTAGTAAATTAGAAGTAAAGATGGATAAAAAATATTTAATAATAAGAAATAAATAAACTAATTAAATTTAATTAATATTTTTAAGCTAAAAATATATGAGTAAAATTAGCAACTGAAACAAAAATAGCAGAATAAAAAAGAAAAATTAATCAAAAATAAATTAATTAAAATAGTTTTATTTTTTTAAATCCATGTTGATATTAAAAAATATCAAAATATAAAACAAATAAACTGCTTTTACTTAAGTTCAAGTTCCAAATTATAGAGATTATTGCACTTTCCTAAACCAAAACCTAAACCTGATACACCATTATCGCCAATTTAATTGCGACTTTTTAAATATTGAAGGAAAAATACATAATTAATCAGTTAGTTATTTAGAAGGAAAAAATGAAGAAAAAATATGATAATAACAATGAGTTTAATTAAAAAAGGAAAAAAAAAAAAAATTAAATAAAAGCTAATAAATAGATTAAAATAGTTCATTCATTTTTATTTTAAAAAATATAAAAATTTAAATCAATTCAACTGTTTTTACCCAAGTAGAAGTTTCAAATTTGAGAGATTAGTGCAATTTGCTAAAGCAGAACCTAAGCCTGATGCACCTTCGTTACCAATTTAATTAGAGCTTTTTAAATTTTAAGAAAATTTACATAATTAATTATTTAGTTAGTTAGAGAAAAAATATGAAATAATAAAAAATGAATTAATAAATAATCAAAGTAAAAGTTAAAAATAAAAAAAATGAAAGAGTTTAAGAAAAAAAACAGCAAAATATAAAATAAAAATTCAATAAATAAAATTAATTTTTTTAAAAAAATATCACAATCCAATACAAATAAACAGTTTTTACCTAAGGGCTAGTGTCAAATTTTATAGATTAATGCAATTTGCTAAGCGAGAGCCTACGCATGATGCACCCTTATTCCCAATTTAATTGTTACTTTAATTAAGAAATATATTATTATTTAGATATTAAATAAATAGTTAGAATTAAAAAAAATGAAATATTAAAAATTTATTAATTGAATATAAAATAAAATTTTTGAAATCAAAAAATAAATAACTCAAATTAAGAAAGAAAAAAAACTAAGTAGAATAAATAAAAAAAATAATTCAATTAAATAGCTAATAAATTAATAAAGTAAATGCATTTTATTGTTTTAAATTAAATATAATAATCCAAATTTGATAAACCAGTTTGTTTTACTCAAAATAAAGATTCAAAATTGAGAGATTAATACATTGTGTTATAGCAGAGCCTATGCGTAAGGCACTTTTATCACGAATTTTTTTGCCACTTTTTAAATTTTGAAGAAAAAATATTTAATTAATTTGCTAGTTAGTTAGTTTGTTAGAAGGATATAATGAAAAAAATATGAAATAATAAATAAAAACCAAAGTTGAAAATGTAAAAAAGAATGAGTTTATTTAAGATAAAAGAAAACTCATGAAGAATATATAAGAAAAATAAATCCAATAAAAAGCTAATTCATAAATTACAAGAGTTAGTTAAATTTTTTTAAATTTATTTTTATATTAAAAATATCAAACTCCAAAACAAATAAACTGTTTTTACTAGAAATTAAGTGTCAATTTTTATAGGTTAGTGCACTTTTCTAAAGCAGAACAAAAGTCTTTTATGTTAATTTTCCCATAACTTAGTTTGTTAATTAGTTATTTAATAATAAAACCAACAGTTAAAAATTAAAAGATAAGTTAAAGTAATTATAAAAGATATTTGTTTAAATAAAAATGATTGAATACAGATGAGAATATTTATTAAAAATTATTTTATTGTAAATAATTTTAAAATTAAATAATGTAAAAAAATTACTAATAATAAATTAAATTTACAAATCAACTGTGATAAATGAATGAGATTAAAGCGAAGAATTGACAAACTTTTTTATTAATAAAAATAAATTTAAATAATATTTATTTAAAAAAATTACATCATCTAGATATTCAAAATATCTCCAATCTACCATTTTATTTATTGATTTATTTTTCAAAATTTTGAATAGCAATTTATAGAAATTTTATTAATTAAAATAATAATTTCCTTTTGTTTTGAGTTTATTTGGATAAAAAGAACAAATAATTTAAGATAAATTAAATATTCATTTAATAATTTTGCATTTAAAAAGAAATTCAAAAAGTTAATGTAATATTCATTATTAAACCTTAACAGTACAAATTAAAATTTATAGTACAAAATAAACTATGAGTTAGTTAGTTAGTTAGTTAGTTAGTTAGTTAGTTAGTTAGTTAGTTAGTTAGTTAGAGATGGGTAAGAAAATATTGAAAAAATATAAATATTGAAGACTTAAAAAATACTTATTTTAAAGTATATTTTTGGGTTTAATCAAGTGATGAAATAACTAAGGTGAAAATTAAAATAATCTAAGTCCTCATTAAATAAATAGCATACTATTTAATGAAGACCTAATTTTATTGAGTAATAATTTTTTTTATTTTAAAGTCTGAAATCTTGAAAAAAATTTTGAAAGATGAGGGAGGGAGGGTATAATTTAAACTTAATTAATGAAGATAAAAAATTAGATTTTTTATAAAAAAAACTTTATAAACAAAAAATTTAAATAAAAAGTAAAACTTGATTTCTCCCTGAGATTTTATTTAAATCATGGCATCTAATTAATCAAGATACATAAAAAAACGATAAAAATATGATTGATGGATAATATTTAAGATTAAAATATAACTGGCATATAAAGTTTATCATTTATATAATTTAATAAGATGTATTATAACACTAAAAGTTTCAAATTGTTTGATCCTTTTTGGAGAAATCAGAGAGTTTGCTTAAGAGGATTTAATTTTTTTTATTTTTTATAAATAATTTATTTACTTACAAAAATATGAATGATATTTATAAATATAAAATCAATAATAAAATCTATTTATCTATTTATATTTTAGATTTAAATTTTTTTCAAAATATTATATAATAAAATATATATTATTATTCAAACATTTTATACTTATTCATCCTTTTTTCACCAGTTGTTTATCATTTGAAATCAAAGAAAACTAATCTTTTTGATTTAAGACACTTGCTTATTACTTTGAATTTTTATGAATCATTCATTGAGTTTTAACTTTTATAATAAATTTTAAATTATTAATAAATATCAAAATAGAATAAACTTTTAAATTAAATATTATTCTTGAAATTAATAAATAAATAAAATAATATTAGTGGAATAAAAAAGATAAAAAAATAAAATAAATAAAAGCTATCAAATAAATTCAAAGAGCTTTTTTGTTTTACATTCATTTTTTTTGTTTAAAATATCACAATAAAGCTAATAAATTGTTTTTACCGAAGGTCAAGTGTCAAATTTGAGAGATTAATGCAATTTGCTAAAGCAGAACCTAACCCTGATGCACCTTCATCACCAATTGGATTTCCACTTTTTAAATATTGAAGAAAAATTATATCGTTAAATAGTTAATTAGAAGGAAAGAATGAAGAAAAAATATGAAATAATAAGATTAATTAATTAATAATAAAAGCAAAATTTGAAAATAAAATCAAGAGCTGAATTAACAAAGAAAGAACCAAAAAAAACAAGCACAATAAAAGAAAAAGAAAAAAGAGCTTTATTGTTTTTAATTAGTTTTTATAATTAAAATATCACAATCCAAAACAAATAAACTATTTTTACTAAAGGTCAAGTGTCAAATTTGAGAGATTAATGCAATTTGCTAAAGCAGAACCTAAACCTGATGCACCTTCATCACCAATTTAATTGTTACTTTTTAGATTTTGAAGAAAAAATATATCATTAAATACTTAATTAGAAGGAAAAAATGAAGAAAAAATATGAAGTAATAAGATTAATTAATTAATAATAAAAGCAAAAGTTGAAAATAAAATCAAGAGCTGAATTAACAAAGAAAGAACCAAAAAAAACAAGCACAATAAAAGAAAAAGAAAAAAGAGCTTTATTGTTTTTAATTAGTTTTTATAATTAAAATATCAAAATCTAAAACAAATAAACTATTTTTACCTAAGTAAAAGTGTCAAATTTGAGAGATTAATGCAATTTGCTAAAGCAGAACCTAAACCTGATGCACCTTCATCACCAATTTAATTGTTACTTTTTAGATTTTGAAGAAAAAATATATCATTAAATACTTAATTAGAAGGAAAAAATGAAGAAAAAATATGAAGTAATAAGATTAATTAATTAATAATAAAAGCAAAAGTTGAAAATAAAATCAAGAGCTAAATTAACAAAGAAAGAACCAAAAAAAAGCAAGCACAATAAAAAGAAAAAGAATAAAGAGCTTTATTGTTTTTAATTAGTTTTTATAATTAAAAATATCACAATCCAAAACAAATAAACTGTTTTTACCCAAGGTCAATTGTCAAATTTGAGAGATTAATACAATTTGCTAAAGCAGAACCTAAGCCTGATGCACCTTCATCACCAATTTAATTATCACTTTTTAGATTTTGAAGAAAAAATATATCATTAAATAGTTAATTAGAAGGAAATAATGAAGAAAAAATTTGAAATAATAAGATTAATTAATTAATAATAAAAGCAAAAGTTGAAAATAAAATGGTGAGCTAAATTAACAAAGAAAGAACAAAAAAAAAGCAAGCACAATAAAAAGAAAATGAAAAAAGAGCTTTATTGTTTTTAATTAGTTTTTATAATTAAAAATATCACAATCCAAAACAAATAAACTGTTTTTACTAAAGGTCAAGTGTCAAATTTGAGAGATTAATGCACTTTGCTAAAGCAGAACCTAAGCCTGATGCACCCATTGCACCAATTTGATTTCTACTTTTTAAATATTGAAGAAAAAATATATCATTAAATAGTTAATTTGAAGGAAAAAATGAAGAAAAAATTTGAAATAATAAGATTAATTAGTTAATAATAAAAGCAAAAGTTGAAAATAAAATGATGAGCTAAATTAACAAAGAAAGAACAAAAAAAAAGCAAGCACAATAAAAAGAAAATGAAAAAAGAGCTTTATTGTTTTTAATTAGTTTTTATAATTAAAAATATCACAATCCAAAACAAATAAACTG